CCTATACAACATTCTATAAGCATATAAACCTTTATACAAATTATGATTCTTTTCCACCTATTCCCATCCTATTCCACTAGTTCTATACATAAATCATAAAAATATCCATCCATCCATTCCATTCCTCTTAACTCTCTATTTTATCTATTTTCCTATCCATTCTATCCATTTCTGTTCCATTCTGTTTATTCCTTACATTTCTGGTTTTTTTCATAAAAACAAAACTGGACTTTTATTTCTCTACTTTCTACCCTGTTCTATTTCCTACTCTAACCCTTCTACCCTACTATCTATAGAGGCTTCTGCTACTATGGCTAAGAAGTTGATACCCTGCCTCAGAGCTATGATTTTTGTATCAAACTCATTCTTCATTGTCATCAGCTACAACTCCAGGTCATTCAGCTCCTTAGTCATCTGTGAGTAGAGGTTGTAGACTGTTCTGGCTTCACTATACATGATTGGAGGGATGACAGAATGTAGGTTTCAAGTTGTACTGTACAATTCTACAGTTTGCCCCCTAGTCTTACACTGGATTCCCTTCAGGCTATATCTAGAGTGGCAGAATATGTATACTGTGTACTAGTTTTCTACACAAATGATCACTATTGACACAGTCAAAAATAAGATTGAAACAGACTTACTTGGATTACTGTAGTACAGCCAATCTATTACAGTCTAGCAAGTGGATCCCTAAGGACCCTTGTGCCTCTTTACACACTTCATACACTTGGGTGTGTGGAAGACCATTCCCTCTGCCTAATCTGGAGGGATATCCTCATCCTCCTTGCTTGAAGACTCTACCACAACCTTCTGGTTTTTTGTGTGTGTTTCCTTACTAAAGACCAGAATCTCTACCTCTACAATAGTGTACTTCTTGCTCAGGAGCACTAGTACTGGCTCTAGACAACAAAATAGAGTCAGTATACTTAGAAAATCAACTACCCCTTATCTACATTACCTTTTTCCTTACTTTTGTCCTCTTTCTTCTTTTCTAGCTTTGTAACTACTTAAGGAACTAGGAGAAACATTGTATTAGCTTAGTACAATTTGTTAGTCATACTTGTACTTACTGACTATGACTTGTTTTTCCTTCCTATCCCTTCTTGTATTAACCTTCTCTTTCTCTACAACTGGCTTTTTCTTTTCTAGTTTTGTAACTTCTTTAGGAACTAGGTAAAGACAACATTAGTAGTGTACAATTTGTTAACTATACATTTAATTCATACCTGGCTTGTTCCCCTTTTCTACTACTACCTTTGACCTTTCTGTATTTGCAACAGTATTAGAACCTGTGTAAATGGTTAGTTATTGTGTACAATTTGTTAGCCATACTTATACACATACCTTTAGACCCCTCCTTTTCCTTCTTATCCTTCTGCTTTGTTACTGACTGTACTAAGGCTGTAGCCTTCTCCTTCTCCTTCTCCTTCTCCTTCTCCTTCTCCTTCTCCCTCTCCCTCTCTTTCTCCTTCTCCTTTCCCCTCTCCTTCTCCTTCTTTACCTTAGCTTGAGCCTCTTCCTTAACCTTAGCCTACATTACTTTCTCAGCCTCTACCTTTACTTTAGCCCTAGCTACAGCTTTGTCCTCCTTTGCTTTTACAAGCTCCTCTACTGTTGCCTTACAATCTACAAGATGTTCTGTGTCAGTAGACAGATTGGAAATCAGGAAATAGGAGACTTACTACCAGATTGACCCTCTACTAGTACAGACAAAACCTCCTCACTCTCTGAATCATTATTATTGTAAGCATTATTGTCTGAGCTCTCTTTGTCTTCAGACTTGGGATCTGTGGTTGATCCATCAGTTTCCTCCTTTGTAACCTTGTCCTCTAGTTTGTTTTCTGTGTTAGAACCTGTAGAGTACATTAGTATATGAGCCAGAGACAATGTGCTTCACAGAGGTACTCACTGAGCATATGTTTGACTAGCTTGTCATTCATGTCCATTCCCTCACTGGCTACTATGTTGTTGTGTGTGCAATTTCCAAGGAAAATCACAAAATCAGTATAAAAAGAGTGGAAAAGAGTACAACACTTACTGTCAGATTTGCTAGAGAGTAGTAATGACATGGCAAGAGTGATGGAAGGAAGCAGGAAGAATAAGCAACAATGTTCACACACACACAGAACTTACATTCAGCCTGCCAATCATTAAATCAACCATGTGACTGTGGACAGTCACAAGCAGACACACTAGGAGATGAAACAATCAGTATCATGCTAAGAACTGTACATCACATACAGACAATCACAGTAATCAATTCCAAACACCTATGTGACTCATAGAAGCCTACTCTGAGAACACCTAACTATTCTACATTACAAGCATTTGCAAACAGAACTGTAAGAGTGTACAGTCTTAGAATTGGCTTACACACATTGTTTTCTCTACAGGATGTACAGATCATGTGCTTATTACAGGCTCAGAACACAAGTTGTGTCACAGTGAGTGGCTCAGCAAACTATTACATTATTATTGCCTAGATCAAAGTACTATGATCTTCTAATCAGATAGGACATTGGGGCAATCAAAGTGTTGATCTCAGGAGACTGCCAGAAATCTCAGAACTCTCTACACTTTGTCTGTACCAATCAGATGATAACAGTATGAGAACCTTCTATTTCTTTCAATGTAAATCTTGCTTTTCCCTTTTGTATAACATTTCCTGTGGCTAGAATACAGACCACTTAAATTTTCCTCATACATTTTCACCCTATTTTCTTCCAACCTCTGGCAAAAGGTTCTCTTATTTGTTCTTGTATATTTTGTTATTTTTCTTTTGTTCAGTCATGACATTTCCCTGTTAGTACTATGCTTTTCCAGAACTCAGAAAACTATAAATACAGCTACTCATGTACTAGATACAGGGGGAATTCAGATAGTTCACCCATTGATTTAGCTCTTGTCTCTTGTCTCAAAGTCCTCTAGTGTGAGGCATAGTTTTAGTCTTTGTTGTTTTCTGTATC